GAAATATAATTGGTGACAAAAGAAGTGACAGTTACCTCTCTAAAATCTACGAAATTGCCGACTCGCCAGAGAGCGCTACTGACATCATCAACTGTCACTTTGCTAACATCAACAAGCTACTCCCAACACTACCTATAGCTTACTTACCTTGCACCCACTACAAGCAATTGTGAGCGAATGCGAAGTGTATCGCCATTTAAATGGGATAGCAAAATGTAAATATTGCCCTGATGACATCCCACTGAGATTGATACAAGAATTCGGTCCCGAGCTCGCCACCTTATGCAACACCTTTAATAGTTCCATCACTGAGGGCGTGGAACCTGTTCTATGGAAGCGTGCTATCACTGCCCCAATTCCCAAAACAAATCCACCTGATTCTCTCGATGACCTTAGACCTATATCACTAATACCTATTCCGTGCAAAATACTCGAGAGCATAATTGCTAAAGCACTGTGGAAAGCATTCACCCCCATATTTGATCATTGCCAATTTGGAAACATCAAGGGTAGCTCTACTGTCCACGAGCTAGTTGACCTGATCACTTATATCACTACAAATGCAGACAAGCGACTGGAGGTCACCACTGTCACCATCGACCTGAGGAAAGCGTTTGATCTCATCTATCACGCCACCTTGATTAAGAAAATAATTTCCCTGGGATTTCAAGAGGGCTGGGGGAAATAGATATCTTCCTTCATCAACCATTACTCCCAAAGGACTCGTACAAACAACAAAACATCCGATGAGATTGATCTTCACTATGGTGTCCCTCAAGGAAAGGTCCTTGGCCCATTATTGTTCCTGATAATGGTAAATGGAGATAATATTTCACACGTGAAGATCTACAAATATGTGGACAACATGGCACATCAGGGCAAGGCACCATCTTTGTTACAAGACACCCTCAACCAAGTGTCAGAATGGGCATCATCAAACAAGATGTTAGTCAACACCAAGAAATCCAAAATTTAACAAATTAGCCGACTATGATAGTACTCTGACAATAGGTGAAGAGTTATTAAGACGCACCACAGAGGTGAATCTGTTGGGAGTCGTGATCAGTGATAACTCCAAACGGTTCGGCAATATGATGACCTAAAGTTGTTCGATAATATTAAGAAATTAGCCACAAAGTGCTTAAGAAAGTTTTTCATGCTGGCTAAATTAAAATTCTTCGGTGCATCCAAAGAAGACCTCCTCCACATATGGACGACCGGTATTCGTCCATTACTAATTAAAAAATAGAAAGACAAAGAAAAAAAAAAAGAATATTACACATCAAATGGATGAAATTATACTTCATACACGGATGCGATAAATCAGATGCAGATCCCACCTTGGGAAGCAGGAGAAAATTCTTAACAAAAAAATTCAACCACATCTTTACATCCGCGAGACATCGGGATCTGCTTCCTGACGTGTCAGTCAAGAAAACAACTCCGTTATGTGAACTAAAGTATCATACATCCAAGCACTACTGTATTTGTCAACTATACCCTTTTGTATTAGCCACTCAAATGGCAACTTTGTAAAGTATCAAATTTACTGTCGTAACTTTAACTTTACTTAATAATCTCTTTATCATCATCATTGCTATCTTCTCCGACAACTGCGGGCCCGGGGATGGAGCTGGCCGTGGGGCTACTGATGACGCTGAGGCAGGTGTGGAGCTAGAACTGAAGCTGGAACTGAAGCTGAGACAAAATCTGACGCAAGCCTGACAGTAGGAAGCTGAAGCAAGTGCTGAGGTCAGAACTCAAGCTGAAGCAAGTGCTCAGAACTCAAGCTGAAGCAAGTGCTGAGGTCAGAACTCAAGCTGAAGCAAGTGCTGAGGTTAGAACTCAAGCTGAAGCAAGTGCTGAGGTAGAACTCAAGCTGAAGCAAGTGCTGAGGTCAGAACTCAAGCTGAAGCAAGTGCTGAGGTCAGAACTGAAGATGAAGCAAGTGCCGAGTTTAGAACTGAAGCTGGAGCAAGTGCTGAAGTTACAACTGAAGCTGAAGCAACGTCTGAGGTTAGAACTGAAGCTGAAGGAAGTGCTGAGGATAGAGCTGAAGCTGAAGCAAGTACTGAGGTCATAACTGAAGGTGAAGCAAGTGTTGAGGTTAGAACTGAAACTGAAGCAATTGCTGAGGTTAGAACTCAAGCTGAAGCAAGTGCTGACTGAAAGCTGAAGTAAGTGATGAGGTTAGAACTGAAGCTGAAGCAAGTGCTGAGGTTAGAACTGAAGCTGAAGCAAGTGCTGAGGTTAGAACTGAAGCTGAAGGAAGTGCTGAGGTTAGAACTGAAGCTGAAGCAAGTGCCGAGGTTAGAACTGAAGCTGAAGCAAATGCTGGGTTGAACTGAAGCTGAAGCAAATACTGAGGTTAAACTGAAGCTGAAAGCTGTAATGAAGGTTAGAACTGAAGCTGAAGCAAGGCTGAGGTTGAACTGAAGCTGAAGCAAGTGCTGAGGTTAGAACTCAAGCTGAAGCAAGTGCTGAGGTTAGAACTGAAGCTGAAGCAAGTGAGAGGTTAGCTGAAGCTGAAGCTGAGGTTGGAACTGAAGCTGAAGCAAGTGCCGAGGTTAGACTGAAGCTGAAGTGAGAACTGAAGCTGAAGGAAGTGCTGAGGTTAGAACTGAAGTGAAGCAAGTGAAGAACTGAAGCTGAAGCAAGTGCCGAGGTTAGAACTCAAGCTGAAGCAAATACTGAGGTTGGAACTGAAAGCTGAAGCAAGTGCCGAGGTTCTGAAGCTGAAGCAATACTGAGGTTAGAACTGAAGCTGAAGCAAGTGATAGAAGCTGAAGCAAGTGCCTCTGAAGGAAGCTGCTGCTAAGCAAGTGTTAGAACTGAAGCTGCTGAGGTTAGAACTGAAGCTGAAGCAAGTTGAGGTTAGAACTCAAGCTGAAGCAAGTGCTGAGGTTGAACTCAAGCTGAAGCAAGTGCTGAGGTTAGAACTGAAGCTGAAGCAAGTGCCGAGGTTAGAACTGAAGCTGAAGCAAGTGATGAGGTTAGAACTGCTGAAGAACTGAAGCTGAAGCAAGTGCTGAAGAACTGAAGCTGAAGCAAGTGCTGGAACTGAAGCTGAAGCAAGTGCCGAGGTTAGAACTCAAGCTGAAGCAAGTGCTGAGGTTAGAACTCAAGCTGAAGCAAGTGCCGAGGTTAGAACTGAAGCTGAAGCAAATACTGAGGTTAGAACTCAAGCTGAAGCAAGTGATGAGGTTAGAACTGAAGCTGAAGCAAGTGAGGTTAGAACTGAAGCTGAAGCAAGTGCTGAGGTTAGAACTGAAGCTGAAGCAAGTGATGAGGTTAGAACTCAAGCTGAAGCAAGTGCTGAGGTTAGAACTCAAGCTGAAAGCAAAGGTTAGAACTGAAGCTGAAGCTGAGGTTAGAACTGAAGCTGAAGCAAGTGCCGAGGTTAGAACTGAAGCTGAAGCGAGGTTAGAACTGAAGCTGAAGGAAGTGCTGAGGTAGAACTGAAGCTGAAGTAAGTGATGAGGTTAGAACTGAAGCTGAAGTAAGTGCTGAGGTTAGAACTGAAGCTGAAGCAAGTGCTGGGGTTGGAGCTGAAGCAAGTGCTGAGGTTGAAGCTGAAGCTGAAGCAAGTGCTGAGGTTAGAGCTGAAGCTGAAAGTGCTGAGGTTAGAACTGAAGCATGTGATGAGGTTAGAACTGAAGCTGAAGTAAGCGCTGAAGCAAGTGTTTAGGTTAGAACTGAAGCTGAAGTAAGCGCTTAGGTCAAACTGAAGGTGAAGGAAGCTCTTAGGCCAAACTGAAGCTGAAGTAAATGTCAAGGTTAGAACTGAAGCTGAAATAAGTTCTGGAGCGGGTGCTGGGGCTGAAACTGCTGGTGCTGTAACTATTGAAATCGACAGCGTTGTTGAAGCCCGTGCTGAAGCTGGCACTGTAGGCGCTGAAGCAGAAGTTGAAGGTAGCGATGAAGCTAGTGCTTAGAGAGAGAGAGAGAGAGAGAGAGAGAGAGAGAGAGAGAGAGAGAGAGAGAGAGAGAGAGAGAGAGAGAGAGAGAGGCGGATGGGTGGTAAGGGGAAAGAATAAATGAGAGTGAAAGAGAGGAGAGGGAAGAAACAGTAGGGAGAGAGAGAGGAGGGGGAGAAATTTTTAAAAAAGGGGGGGAGGGGAGGAAAAAAAGGGGATGCAGGGAGAGAGAAAGCTTGAGAGAGAGAAAGAGATTGAGAGAGGAAGGGAGGGAGAGAGAGAGAGAGAGAGAGAGAGAGAGGGAAAAAATAAAATACACAAAAAACTGAATAAGAATAGTCCAAGATCAAAGCGAACCGCCTTCCACAAACCATACTTTACCTAGAATTAACAGACTCGGTAAAGTATTCATGAGATCTCTGGTGGTTGCAGCCTATATAAGAGAGTACCCCCTCCGCCACGCTCCTGTCGTTTTCTATGTGGCTGTGGACGGACCCCTGGCAACCTGCCTGGAGCGACCCGCCGTTGGGATAGAAGTCCACGTGGCCGAGCGCCTCAGGATGGCCCAGCTCTGGGAAGGCAAACAGACGAAAGGGAGATAAAAGGGAGGGAGATGCCTTGATAAACGGAAGGAAAAGGACAAAGACGAAGAGATAAATGTGGAGGGAGATGCCTTGATAAACGGAAGGAAAAGAGCAAACAGACGAAGAGATCAAACGGAGGGAGGAAGGTGTCTTTATAAACGGAAGGAAAAGGACAAACAGACGAAGAGATCAAACGGAGGGAGGAAGGTGCCTTGATAAACGGAAGGAAAAGGACAAACAGACGAAGAGATAAAAGGGAGGGAGATGCCTTGATAAACGGAAGGAAAAGGACAAAGACGAAGAGATAAAACGGAGGGAGGAAGGTGCCTTGATAAACGGAAGGAAAAGGACAAAAGACGAAGAGATGAAGTAAACAGACCCTTGATTGATAAACCCTTGATAAACGGAAGGAAAAGGACAAACAGACGAAGAGATAAAAGGAGGAGGAAGGTGCCTTGATAAACGGAAGGAAAAGGACAAACAGACGAAGAGATCAAACGGGAGGAGGAAGGTGCCTTGATAAACGGAAGGAAAAGGACAAAAGCGAAGAGAAAAAGGAGGGAGGAAGGTGCCTTGATAAACGGAAGGAAAAGGACAAACAGACGAAGAGATAAAAGGGAGGAAGAGGCCTTGATAAAGGAAAAGGACAAACAGACGAAGAGATGGGAGGGAGGGGTGCCTTGATAAACGGAAGGAAAAGGACAAACAGACGAAGAGATAAAACGGAGGGAGGAAGTGCCTTGATAAACGGAAGGAAAAGGACAAACAGACGAAGAGATAAACGGAGGGAGGAAGGTGCCTTGATAAACGGAAGGAAAAGGGACAAACAGACGAAGAGATCAAACGGAGGGAGGAAGGTGCCTTGATAAACGGAAGGAAAAGGACAAACAGACGAAGAGATCAAACGGAGGGAGGAAGGTGCCTTGATAAACGGAAGGAAAAGGACAAACAGACGAAGAGATAAAAGGGAGGGAGGAAGGTGCCTTGATAAACGGAAGGAAAAGGACAAACAGACGAAGAGATAAAACGGAGGGAGGAAGGTGCCTTGATAAACGGAAGGAAAAGGACAAACAGACGAAGAGATAAAAGGAGGAGGAAGGTGCCTTGATAAACGGAAGGAAAAGGACAAACAGACGAAGAGATAAAAGGGAGGGAGGAAGGTGCCTTGATAAACGGAAGGAAAAGGACAAACAGACGAAGAGATAAAAGGGAGGGAGGAAGGTGCCTTGATAAACGGAAGGAAAGGACAAACAGACGAAGAGATAAAACGGAGGGAGGAAGGTGCCTTGATAAACGGAAGGAAAAGACAAACAGACGGAAGCCTTGATAAACGGAAGGAAAAGGACAAACAGACGAAGAGATAAAACGGAGGGAGGAAGGTGCCTTGATAAACGGAAGGAAAAGGACAAACAGACGAAGAGATAAAAGGGAGGAGGAAGGTGCCTTGATACAGACGAAGGGAAACGGAAGGAAAGGACAAACAGACGAAGAGATAAAAGGGAGGGAGGAAGGTGCCTTGATAAACGGAAGGAAAAGGACAAACAGACGAAGAGATCAAACGGAGGAGGAAGGTGCCTTGATAAACGGAAGGAAAAGGACAAACAGACGAAGAGATAAAGAGGGAGGAAGGTGCCTTGATAAACGGAAGGAAAAGGACAAACAGACGAAGAGATAAAAGGAGGGAGGAAGGTGCCTTGATAAACGGAAGGAAAAGGACAAACAGACGAAGAGATAAAACGGAGGGAGGAAGGTGCCTTGATAAACGGAAGGAAAAGGACAAACAGACGAAGAGATCAAACGGAGGAGGAAGGTGCCTTGATAAACGGAAGGAAAGGACAAAGACGAAGAGATAAAGAGGGAGGAAGGTGCCTTGATAAACGGAAGGAAAAGGACAAACAGACGAAAAGATAAAACGGAGGGAGGAAGGTGCCTTGATAAACGGAAGGAAAAGGACAAACAGACGAAGAGATAAAGGGAGGGAGGAAGGTGCCTTGATAAACGGAAGGAAAAGGACAAACAGACGAAGAGATAAAAGGGAGGGAGGAAGGTGCCTTGATAAACGGAAGGAAAAGGACAAACAGACGAAGAGATAAAAGGGAGGAGGAAGGTGCCTTGATAAACGGAAGGAAAAGGAACAGACGAAGAGATAAACGGAGGGAGGAAGGTGCCTTGATAAACGGAAGGAAAAGACAAACAGACGAAGAGAAAAAAGGGAGGGAGGAACTTGGAAGGAAAAGGACAAACAGACGAGAGATAAAACGGAGGGAGGAAGGTGCCTTGATAAACGGAAGAAAAGGACAAACAGACGAAGAGATAAAAGGGAGGGAGGAAGATAAACGGAAGGAAAAGGGAAACAGACGAAGAGATTTGATAAACGGAAGGAAAAAACAAACAGACGAAGAGATAAAGGGAGGGAGGAAGGTGCCTTGATAAACGGAAGGAAAAGGACAAACAGACGAAGAGATCAAAAGGAAGGTGCCTTGATAAACGGAAGGAAAAGGACAAACAGACGAGAGATCAAACGGAGGGAGGAAGGTGCCTTGATAAACGGAAGGAAAAGGGCAAACAGACGAAGAGATAAACGGAGGGAGGAAGGTGCCTTGATAAACGGAAGGAACAAACAGACGAAGAGATAAAACGGAGGGAGGAAGGTGCCTTGATAACGGAAGGAAAAGGACAAACAGACGAAGAGATAAAAGGGAGGGGAGGGATAAACAAGGACAAAGACGAAGAGAAAAAAGGGAGGGAGGGAAGGTGCTTGATAAACGGAAGGAAAAGGACAAACAGACGAAGAGAGAAAAGGGAGGGAGGAAGGTGCCTTGATAAACGGAAGGAAAAGGACAAACAGACGAAGAGATCAAACGGAGGGAGGAAGGTGCTTGATAAACGGAAGGAAAAGGACAAACAGAGAAAGAGAAAACGGGGAGGAAGGTGCCTTGATAAACGGAAGGAAAAGGAAACAGACGAAGAGATAAACGGAGGGAGGAAGGTGCCTTGATAAACGGGAAGGAAAAGACAAACAGACGAAGAGAGAAAAGGGAGGAGGAAGGTGCCTTGATAAACGGAAGGAAAAGGACAAACAGACGAAGAGATAAAGGGAGGGAGGAAGGTGCCTTGATAAACGGAAGGAAAAGGACAACAGACGAAGAGAAACGAAGGTGCCTTGATAAACGGAAGGAAAAGGACAAACAGACGAAGAGATAAAACGGAGGGAGGAAGGTGCCTTGATAAACGGAAGGAAAAGGACAAACAGACGAAGAGATAAAAGGGAGGGAGGAAGGTGCCTTGATAAACGGAAGGAAAAGAACAAACAGACGAAGAGATAAAAGGAGGGAGGAAGGTGCCTTGATAACGGAAGGAAAAGGACAAACAGACGAAGAGATCAAACGGAGGGAGGAAGGTCCTTGATAAAAGGAAGGAAAAGGACAAACAGACGAAGAGATAAAAGGAGGGAGGAAGGTGCCTTGATAAACGGAAGGAAAAAACAGACGAAGAGAAAAAGGAGGGAGGAAGTTGATAAACGGAAGGAAAAGGACAACAGACGAAGAGATGGATAAACGGAAGGAAAAGGAGACAGGGAGGAAGATAGACGAAGAGAAAAGGGAGGGAGGAAGGTGCCTTGATAAACGGAAGGAAAAGGACAAACAGACGAAGAGATAAACGGAGGGAGGAAGGTGCCTTGATAAACGGAAGGAAAGGACAAACAGACGAAGAGATAAAAGGGAGGGAGGAAGGTGCCTTGATAAACGGAAGGAAAAGGACAAACAGACGAAGAGAGAAAAGGGAGGGAGGAAGGTGCCTTGATAAACGGAAGGAAAAGGACAAACAGACGAAGAGAAAAGGGAGGAGGAAGGTGCCTTGATAAACGGAAGGAAAAGGACAAACAGACGAAGAGATAAAAGGGAGGGAGGAAGGTGCCTTGATAAACGGAAGGAAAAGGACAACAGACGAAAGAGAAAACGGAGGGAGGAAGGTGCCTTGATAAACGGAAGGAAAAGGACAAACAGACGAAGAGATAAAAGGGAGGGAGGAAGGTGCCTTGATAAACGGAAGGAAAAGGACAAACAGACGAAGAGATAAAAGGGAGGGAAGAAGCCTTGATAAACGGAAGGAAAAGGACAAAAGACGAAGAGATCAAACGGAGGGAGGGAAGGTGCCTTGATAAACGGAAGGAAAAGGACAAACAGACGAAGAGATAAAGGAGGGAGGAAGGGCCTTGATAAACGGAAGGAAAAGGACAAACAGACGAAGAGATCAAACGGAGGGGAGAAGGTGCCTTGATAAACGGAAAAAGGACAACAGACGAAGAGAGAAAAGGGAGGGAGGAAGGTGCCTTGATAAACGGAAGGAAAAGGACAAACAGACGAAGAGATAAAAGGGAGGGAGGAAGGTGCCTTGATATAAACTTGATAAACGGAAGGAAAAGGACAAACAGACGAAGAGATAAAACGGAGGGAGGAAGGTGCCTTGATAAACGAAGGAAAAAAGACAAACAGACGAAGAGATAAAACGGAGGGAGGAAGGCGCCTTGATAAACGGAAGGAAAAGGACAAACAGACGAAGAGATCAAACGGAGAAGGTGCCTTGATAAACGGAAGGAAAAGGACAAACAGACGAAGAGATAAAACGGAGGGAGATGCCTTGATAAACGGAAGGAAAAGGACAAACAGACGAAGAGATCAAACGGAGGGAGGAAGGTGCCTTGATAAACGGAAGGAAAAGGACAAACAGACGAAGAGATAAAAGGGAGGAAGGTGCCTTGATAAACGGAAGGAAAAGGACAAACAGACGAAGAGATAAAAGAGGAGGAAGGTGCCTTGATAAACGGAAGGAAAAGGACAACAGACGAAGAGATCAAACAAGGGAGGAAGGCCTTGATAAACGGAAGGAAAAGGACAAACAGACGAAGAGATAAAAGGGAGGGAGGAAGGTGCCTTGATAAACGGAAGGAAAAGGACAAACAGACGAAGAGATCAAACGGAGGGAGGAAGGTGCCTTGATAAACGGAAGGAAAAGGACAAACAGACGAAGAGATCAAAGGGAGGGAGGAAGGTGCCTTGATAAACGGAAGGAAAAGAACAAACAGACGAAGAGAGAAAAGGGAGGGAGGAAGGCGCCTTGATAAACGGAAGGAAAAGGACAAACGGAGGAAGATCGATAAAAGGAGGGAGAAGCCTTTGATAAACGGAAGGAAAAGACAAACAGACGAAGAGATCAAACGGAGGGAGGAAGGTGCCTTGATAAACGGAAGGAAAAGGACAAACAGACGAAGAGATAAAAGGGAGGAAGGCGCTTGATAAACGGAAGGAAAAGACCAAACAGACGAAGAGATCAAACGGAGGGAGGAAGGCGCCTTGATAAACGGAAGGAAAAGGACAACAGACGAACAGATAAAAGGAGGGAGGAAGGCGCCTTGATAAACGGAAGGAAAAGGACAAACAGACGAAGAGATCAAACGGAGGGAGGAAGGCGCCTTGATAAACGGAAGGAAAAGGACAAACAGACGAAGAGAAAAAGGGAGGGAATGATAAACGAAGGAAAAGGACAAACAGACGAAAAGATCAAACGGAGGGAGGAAGGCCTTGATAAACGGAGGAAAAGGACAAACAACGAAGAGATAAAAGGGAGGGAGGAAGGTGCCTTGATAAACGGAAGGAAAAGGGCAAACAGACGAAGAGATCAAACGGAGGGAGGAAGGTGCCTTGATAAACGGAAGGAAAAGGGCAAACAGACGAAGAGATAAAGGGAGGGAGGAAGGTGCTGATAAACGGAAGGAAAGGACAAACAGACGAAGAGATCAAACGGAGGGAGGAAGGTGCCTTGATAACCAAACAGACGAAGAGATGCCTTGATAAACGGAAGGAAAGGCAAACAGACGAAGAGAAAGGAGGGAGGAAGGTGATTAGGAAGGTTCCTTGATAAACGGTCCATTTATTAGGCGCGTTTCTCCGTATTGGAGATAATAGAAATTGAGATTTTATGTAAATATTGGTGCACGAGGAAAGGGCATGGAATTGGAGTAACATTTTGATTGATATATTCTTCGTCTCTTCATTTTTTTTTTTTTTTTTTTTGATGGGTAAGTGATACGTTTTTTTAGACTCATCCTTTCGCATCTTAATACTGCAATTGTCCGAGGATCGAACTTCCGGTCCATTTATGATGATTATGGTGATGATGATAACAACAACAGCAGTGATAATGGTAATTATAATAATGATATAACGATTATGACAATAATAATGATAACAACACTAATGATAATTATTAACCTCCCTATCCTTTTTATCACTGACTTTTATTATTGATTCATTATCATTGTATCATCATTACTAGTGTTATTATCATTATCATCATTGCTATTATCATGACTATTAATATTTCTCTTATTTTTATTATTGTTATAAATCTTATTATCATCATTATTATCATCCCTATTATTACTATCATTATTATCATCATTATTATCATCGTCATTGTTATCATCTTATTGTTGCAATTGTCATCATTATCATTAATATCATCAATATTATACCTATTAGTATCATAATTCTCATTTCTATTCCTTTTATCATCCTTATCTTTATCATCATTATCATTATGATTCCTGTTAGTATCGCTATCAATATTATTCATATCCTCATTATTATCATCATCTTTTTATCATTATCATAATTACCATCATTATCATCATAACTATTATCACTATTATTACCATTACCATTTTCATCAAGATCACAATTACTATAGTAGTATTAGCAGCAGCAATTATGGTTAATTATAATACTGCTCCTACTTCATATATTGATGATATTAACAATAGTAACAATAATGATAATGACAATATCAATGATGATTATATCAATTATAATGACTAATTGTATTAGTGATAATAAAGATGATAATAAAGATAGTAATGATTCTAATAATCCTAATTACTGTTCCTGTATTTTCTTTTATTCTTATTAATAATACTGTTACTATATTGTAATCATTATTAGTACTACTACTATTACTATCATTTTTATTATCAATCTAATGTTACCATTATTCTTATTATTGATATGTTCATTATCATCATTATCACCCTCATTATTAGTATCATTATCATCATTATGATAATCTTTGTTAATTCTTATTATCATTACCATCTTCATTCTTATTAATATTATTATCATCATAACTGTCATCATTATCATTATCATTTTCTTAATATAATCATCATTAACGTTATTATTATTACCATTATTACCTTTATTATTATCATTGTCACCATTACTATTATTATGATGATCATTAATACTTTTATCTTAAGGAGCATTATTGTTATCATTGATTTTATTCATTATCACTATTACATAATTATCATCATTGTCATTATTATCATTTTGTTATCATTATCATTGTTAATATTATCATTATCATTATTATTATCATAATTTTCATTATCATTGTTATCATCATTATTATGATTATCATGATTATAATTATCATCATTTTTATGATCATCATTTTCATTACCATCATCATCAGCATCGTTATCATTATCGCTAATATCAATATCTACATTTGTAATAACGATTATCATATCAAATATTACAAAGTAGTAATACTAGCAGTAGTAGTAATATCAATAAATATGCTACTAATAATTATGATGATGATGATTATGATTATGATGATGATGATTATGATTATGAGGATGAGGATTATGAGGATGATGATGATGAAATGATGATGAGGAGGAGGAGGAAGAGGAGGAGGATAAGGAGGATGACGATGATGGTGACGAAGAGGAGGAGGAGGATAAGGATGAGGAAAATGAATGATCAGCAAAGGCAGAATTATATATAAACAAATGCCACAACACACAAAAACACCCTCCCCCCTCCCCCCCCAAAAAAAAAACTGAAAATAAATAAATAAATAAAAAAAAAGGAAGAAAAAAATTTCTTTGGGCACGTACTGCTTATCTCCCAGCCCTCGCTCGGCATGTCGGTGTGAATGATGTCCACGAAGGCGGCGTCGGTCGGGTCGAGGTGGACCTCTGGCGGCGTGTTGGTGAAGTACGGGCCGGCGGGGTCCAGGCCTGTGATGCGGCCCACCTTTAGAGCGAGAGATAGATGGATAGGTAAATGGAGGGAGGGGGGGATAGATCGATGGATAGGTAAATGGAGGGATGGGGGATAGATAGATGGATAGGGGAGGGATGGGGGATAGGTAAATGGATAGATAGATGGATAGGTAAATGGAGGATGGGGGATAGATAGATGGATAGGTAAATGGAGGGATGGATAGGTAAATGGAGGGATGGGGGATAGATAGATGGATAGGTAAATGGAGGGATGGGGGATAGATAGATGGATAGGTAAATGAGGGATGGGGATAGATAGATGATAGGTAAATGGAGGGGATGGGGGATAGATCGATGGATAGGTAAATGGAGGGATGGGGGATAGATAGATGGATAGGTAAATGGAGGGATGGGGGATAGATAGATGGATAGGTAAATGGAGGGATGGGGGATAGGTAAATGGAGGGAGGGATAGGAGATAGGGGAATGGATAGATAGATGGATAGGTAAATGGAGGGATGGGGGATAGGTAAATGGAGGGAGGGAGGGATAGATAGATGGATAGGTAAATGGATGGGGATGGATGGGATAGATAGATGGATAGGTAAATGGAGGGAGGGAGGGATAGATAGATGGATAGGTAAATGGAGGGATGGGGGATAGATAGATGGATAGGTAAATGGAGGGATGGGGGGGATAGATGGAGATAGAGATGGATAGGTAAATGGAGGGATGGGGGATAGATAGATGGATAGGTAAATGGAGGGAGGGGGGGATAGATAGATGGATAGGTAAATGGAGGGAGGGAGGGATAGATAGATGGATAGGTAAATGGAGGGAGGGAGGGATAGATAGATGGATAGGTAATGGAGGGGGAGGGATAGATAGATGATAGGTAAATGGAGGGATGGGGGATAGATAGATGGATAGGTAAATGGAGGATGGGGGATAGATAGATGGATAGGTAAATGGAGGGAGGGAGGATAGATAGATGGATAGGTAAATGGAGGGATGGGGATAGATAGATGGATAGGTAAATGGAGGGATGGGGGATAGATAGATGGATAGGTAAATGGAGGGATGGGGGATAGATAGATGGATAGGTAAATGGAGGGATGGGGGATAGATAGATGGATAGTATGGAGGGCGTAATGGAGGGATGGGGATAGATAGATGGATAGGTAAATGGGATAGATATGGGTAAATGGAGGAGGGAGGGATAGATAGATGGATAGGTAAACAGATGGATAGGATGGATAGCAGGCGAGGAGGGATAGATAGATGGATAGGTAAATGGAGGGAGGGGGATAGATAGATGGATAGGTAAATGGAGGGAGGGAGGGATAGATAGATAGGTAAATGGACTAGATAGATAGGATGGAGGGAGATAGATAGATGGATAGGTAAATGGAGGGAGGGAGGGATAGATCGATGGCTGGTTAGGCAGATGGATGGATAAATGTACGTAGGGAGGGATAGATAGATGGGCGGATAGATAGATGTATAGATAAATATATAGATAATGGAGGGGGGAAGGAGGGATAGATGAATGCATGGATGGATGGATAGATAGATAAATAAATGGAGGGAGGGAGGGGTTGGCAGATGGATGAATAGATAAATATGCAAATACGTACAGTATGTATGTACGTGTACAAATCCACACACGCGCACGGATAGATCATTAGAGAAAGAATCAGGAGGATTATTGTGAAAATCAGCGCAACGCGGGAAAGTCATCCAGGAGAGGGGAAACTGGGGCCATTTGAGATCTTTCTTGAGGTACTGCCACACTAGCACCTTTTCCGTCAATTTTTTGGACCATTTTCTGAAATTTTCTCCATTTTTGAGCGAATTGTCGATTCTCCAGTGGGACGATGATGATCGTTTCCGTCTGAAATCCTTTCCGTCAATTTTTTCAGCCGAGTAAAGTCAAATCAAGAGCTATATTCGAGAATGTTTGTATTTATGTTAAATAAAATTGTCAAAAAAATTGACGGAAAAAGTGGAGGTAGTCCCAGCTAAACGGAAGAGATAAAGAAGGGATTTTGGACTAAGGTTTACATAAATACTTATATAGACCTTGTTTCGGACCATCCAAGTGTGAGTACTTATATAGACCTTGTTTTGGACCATCCAAGCGTGAGTACTTATATAGACCTTGTTTTGGACCATCCAAGTGTGAGTACTTATATAGACCTTGTTTGGACCATCCAAGTGTGAGTACTTATATAGACCTTGTTTTGGACCATCCAAGTGTGAGTACTTATATAGACCTTGCTTTGGACCATACAAGTGTGAGTACTTATATAGACCTTGTTTCGGACCATCCAAGTGTGAGTACTTATATAGACCTTGTTTTGGACCATCCAAGTGTGAGTACGAGACCATCCAAGTGTGAGTACTATATAGACCTTGTTTTGGACCATCCAAGTGTGAGTACTTATATAGACCTTTGTTTTGGACCATCCAAGTGTGAGTACTTATATAGACCTTGTTTTGGACCATCCAAGTGTGAGTACTTATATAGACCTTGTTTTGGACCATCCAAGTGTGAGACCTTGTTTGACCATCCAAGTGTGAGTACTTATATAGACCTTGTTTTGGACCATCCCCACCCCATACAAGTGTGAGTAGATCTTGTTTTAGTGGAGTGGTAGGGGGGGGGGGGGAATATGAAATTGTAAAAGAGGGACCTAAGAAGCGGTGGTTAGAGATGAGTGGAAGAGAGGCATAACAGGGAGCTGTCTAGAAGAGGGAAACGGAGGCCCTGTGGATCACGGTGGATGAGAGAGCTACGGCCGGTTTGTTAAAATTGTGCGAGGGCCGATCCATTTCACATTCATATATACGGACATGCATCTACACAGAAAAATAGGCTTAAATGTCTATCTATTGAACAGATATGCATTTTTATTATCTGTCTGCCCGGTAGATATGCGTGTCTAGACTGTTAGATATGCATTTACTTCTGTTTTTTTTATATCCATGTCCGTGTTATAAACATTCATTGGATCGGACCTCGCACAATTTTACCAAACCGAACTATAATGAGGAGTTACCTAGAAGGGGGAAATGGAGTGGCTATGAAGTTAGTGAGGGACGTCATGTGGAGTCAAGTAAGACGTCGGACAGGCAAATTGTGTTTTCCTTGAGGTGAGTTGCTTTCTGTTTTTTGCATCTCCTTCTTTTAGAGGAAGGGGAACTGCTAAAATCCTGAGAGAAACTGACCATTGGGGTTATTATTTTCAGAGGAGGGAAAATGATTTCTCGTAATTCTAAGTACAGGACTCCCCTTCCATCAGAGTGGAGTGATGTCCAAGGCTCATAGGTGGCCCAATTCGGGCGCCTCAAAAAGATCAGATTTCTTCCTTTTATTTCGTTTCCTTCTATTAATGGTACTATCTTGATTGTGTTGTCTTGCAAGGAGAAAGACAAATAAATCGAAGGAGAATGGGGAAAGAAAGGCCAAGCGGTTTCTTAGTTCATATCTCAGGCCAGTGTGAAGAACCTGCAAAGACTTTTACCTGCTCGTCCCGGATTGTCTTGACATATTGGCCTGCGTAGCCCATGAGGTGGGCACCCAGGCTATGCCCAATCAGGTGCACTGACCTCAGGTTGACGTCACAGAACTCCTGAAAGAAATGCAGCGACACATGTATTACTCAGGTCTATATTTATTCATTATTATTATTATTATCATTATTATTGTCATTATTATTATTGTGACTGCTGTCTCCTACCTTTCCCTTCATTTTCCTTCCCTCATTTTCTGTCAGACATATTTTTGTCTGTCTGTATCACTGTCTGTGTATCCCATCCCCCCTCTCTCTCATGCACTCTCCCTCTCCCTCTCTCTCTCTCTCTCCCTGCTCCCTCCCTCCCTCTCTCCCTCTCTCTCTCTCTCTCTCTCTCTCTCTCTCTCTCTCCTCTCTCTCTCTCTCTTCTCTCTCTCTCTCTCTCTCTCTCTCTCTCTCTCTCTTCTTCTCTCTGTTCTCTCTCTCTCTCTCAAGCATTCTTTTATTTCCTCAATGAGGGGAACTGTGAACCAAAGAATCTTATGACCTGCTAGTTTTCTTTGACAGCTTTTGACAGTAAAGCTTTTGGCACAGTCAACTATGTCACCTTTCTTTCTAATCTAAACCACTATAACATTGCAGGTGTAACGAATAACTGGTTTAGATCAAACTTGACTAATAGATCACGGTTTATAAATTGTAGTGGCACTCTATCCTCTTCCCTGTCCACTATGTATGGCGTTCCTCAAAGCTCGATTCTAAGACCCTTTCTCTTTCTCTTTTTTATTAGTGATTTAACTGATAGTAGTAAGAAATTTAGGTTCAACTTATTTGGAGACGATTGCACACTCTTTTTCAAATACCCTAAGATTAACTCTTAACCAAGGAGGTAAACAAAAATTAACTCTTGTCGATAAGTTACGTGTGATTACCCAACACCTAATGTTAATAAATCATATCATATGATATTCAACGATGGAAAAAAGGACAATGAATATTCCCCAAATTTCAATCAACATATTTTGTCTCGATAAACTTGTTAAAGTTAAAAGTCATTCTCTTTCTTTCTCTTTCCCCCTGTCTCTCTTTCTCTCTCACACACACACACATACACACACACATTCCCTTCCTCTCTCGATCTCTCTCCCACTCCCTATTTCTCTCTTTCCTTCCCTTGCCTTCCCCCCCCCCTCAGACCCCGCCCCCACCGCCCGCCTTCCTCACCGCCAGGACGTGGAGCAGGTAGCCGTAGCAGCGCCCACCAGCCTGATGTTGGCGACCGCTTGGGCGTAGGGGGGCGGGGCTGCCCTCGCCCAGTCGACGGTGACCACGCCCGCTTTCGGGGAGGATCTCAAGAGTGACGTCACCATCTTCTGCATCCATTTGAGTCGCGCGGATTCCAGGTAC